ACACACACACACACACACACACACAGTTACACTTACCTTACTCCACCCCCTCCTGTATATGAAAGGCAGAGTGAAGGCTGCACTAGTTAGGACAACAGCCAAGACCATCATGGTTCGATGGAGCTGCAGAGAAAAGGAGTTTAAGAGAGGATATTTAAATTCTAACTGAAATGACTGTTTGGTCATGTCCTTGGAGGACAGACAGTGGCAAATGAAGAATATAACTGTGAAGATAATGTGTATGTTTCTGTCGATTAAATTTTGAGCATATTTCAGAATGTATAGAGTGTTTGAAAGACAGATTTGCTGGTGTCCTCACCTGAAACCAGAGCCTTTGTCCCAGCACTGTGGTGTCAGGCCAAAAGTCTTTGTAGTGGCGAGCAATGAGGACGGCTGTGCTCACTATCCACATCCAGGCAGTCAGCATGAACACACCTGAGGACAGATCACAGGTGATGATCTATAGAAATTTGGTGGATTTTCACGTTCATGTTTAATTATCTATTCTGGAATTTTAGCTTAGCTACATAGCCTATGCATATACCCAACACACACAGTAGGTACACTGTAGGTACACTGTAGACTGTGCACAAATGTGACCATATGTTGGAGCTACAGTGATATCCACATGGAGTAAGAGTCAGCGAGGTTGTTACAGATTTAATAAAAACAACACTTCTGCAGAATGTCTGATCATGACAGTCGTCTCGATCACAGTGTGAATGGAAACAGGGCGATGACAGGTAATGTCTTCTATTTAGTAATTCAACATGTCAGAGTGACTGTGACTTATATTCTACTACACACAAAATGACTTGATGTTGCTTTGGTTTGTCCAGCTCTGTGCTACTCTGAGATGAAAGGAACACAGCAGTCTATCCGAAATCTTCAGATTTTAGACTGTAGTGGAACCAACCATGGTACTTGATGAGCAGGGGCGAGCGCGAGCCACTTAGATCCTCCGGAAGCCCAGTAATCACCTTCTGAATGGTGGAGATGAGAGGTTGATGATAGTGTTTGTAGATCGAACCTATGGAGGACAAACTTTTACCAACATGCACTCTGCACAAAGTTTACCTTATGGATTCCATTGTTTTTTCCAGCAGTAATTTAAGAGGAAACTATGCTATTCTCAGCTATGTGAGTCATGAAAGTATTCCTACTGAAGGTTTGACACACCAGATTAAAATACACACGACCCGAGGTGAGAAATAAAACCTCACCACGGCCTTCAAAGTGTTTCCATGAAAACAACAGAATCCGACTCAGCATAAGATATTGGGAGCATCTTAGCAATTACCAACTTTCAGCGGGTCAGTGCTGAACCTGTAATAGACAAAAGGCTTTTCTTTATTAGATTTGCTGCCCTACTCGTGATTTCAGTTAACAAACACAGGTCACATTACTTGGCTTATTTGCAAGAGAAGATTGAGGTTCATGGCCTAAGGTAGAAGTAAATTTAAACAAAACTGTCATATTTATTAAGATAGTCCCATCCTATGTTAAAACACTTGAGTTTCAGGATCACCAGCCGAAATTACAAAGTTTTAATTCTGTGAAGATCGTGTATGTTACTTAAAGGTTCAGTGTGTAGACTTTTGTGATATGTAGTGTTGAAATTGCATGTTGCAGCTAAACCCCCCTCACCTCACCCTCTCCTTCCAAACATGAAAAAGAACCTGTGGTAGCTTCAGTTGTCATAAAAACTCAAAAGGTGTTTAGTTTGTTCAGTCT